TTAAGATCCCATTACTGCCATGGAATAAACTGCATCATGAATAAAATAGTTTAAGATGGTCCTTTTCTAGAAGGCAATAATGATAGTGTAGTTAAATAACACAAATAAATGGGATTTTCAATGGCGGCCTAATTTACTGAAGCTGTCTGTCAAAAGGTTTAGAAGCTTTTAGAGCACACTAACCAGTGAGGATAGCTGAATGGGATTATTACAGACTTTTAAATGGCATAGACTTAAAACTTAAAACATATGTATAAAAGCTCTCTCTCTTTTTCCTTTAGAGGAATCTAGTCTTGCAAATCTGGTTGCTTGAAAAGAAAATTTCCTTGTTCAAGTTTCAATCCAACTGCAACTATTCTGAAGAGAACGGCATGAAGTATTAGAACTTGTCTGCTTCTTAGACTCCTAAAAAGAGGTGTGTGTATTTGGGGGAGGGGTGAGATACAAAAACAATTACAAAAACTCTGTAGGTGGCACAAATTATAAAAGTCAAACAAGACAACTGTTATGACCTACGGAATCACGATGTGTCTTCTCACAATTTAATTAAAATATTTGCTCAAAGGCACAAAGTAAGCCAAGTTTAACATTTATTTTTACAATTTCAGTATTTGCATTATTTTCTAATTCAAATTTAATACAGTGGGAGGCATATAGGAGGCTCTCAAAACTGATTGCTTACTTTGTGTAAATTCAAACCTTGTTATTTTAAAGCAACAAAATGCTCTAGTTGGTAGTTCTCAGTTCTTGCTGCACAGCAGCATCACCTGGAGAGCTATAAAAAAAATCCTGTTGCCCATGTTCCACCTTAAGCAATTAATTAGAATCATTGGAAGGTGTGGCCCAGGCATCAGTATTTTTTAAGAGCTCCCAAGGTGAAATCTCATGTGAATTCAGGACAAAGAACCATTAAGCTTCTAGGTTTAGAATCATGTCATGTTATAACTGGGGTGAAGAGGGTGAAATGGGTAAAGGAGGCCACTGTATGGTGACAAATGGAAACTAGATGTTGGGTGGTGAGCATGCTATATTGTATATAGGTACTGAATTATGTTGTACACCTGAAACTTAGGTTATTAACCAATGCTACCTCATTAAAAAATTATATTTTTCTTTTTAAATTTTAATCAAGATATAATTGGCATATAACATTGAATTAGTTTTAGGTGTACCACTTAATGATTTGATATGTAACTGGTATATACAGTGTGGGGCAAAAGTAGATTTACAGTTGTTCATATGAAAAAATACACTAAATAGTAAAACAAGAATAAACTGTGTTTTGCATACTCAATTGTAGACCTACATTTGCCTGACGCTGTATATATATTTACCACAATAAATTTAGTTAACATCCATCACCACACATGGTTACATTTAAAAAAACATTTAGCCCTTGCCAGGTAGCTTAGTTGGTTAGAGCATCATCCCCATACGCCAAGTTGCAGGTTCAATCCTCAGGGCACATACAAGATCAACAAATGAATGCCCAAATAAGTGGAACAGCAAATCAATGTTTCTCTCTCTCTCAATAAGTAACAAATAAAAAATTTATGTTTTTCTAAATCTAAAATTGGTACTTGCCCTGGCCGGTGTGGCTCAGTTGGTTGGAATGTGGTCCCATGGACCAAAGGGTACGGGTTTGGTTCCAAGTTGGGGTGCATGCCTGTATTGTGAGCACAATCCCTGATCGGGGTGTGTACAGGAGGCAACTGATGAATGTTTCTCCCTCTCCTTCCCCTCTCTCTAAAAATAAACACAATTTTTAAAAAACAAAAAAAGTAATCTGAAATCTCCTTTCTCCTTTATGTGTTTATTGAGTCTTTTTTTCTATGAATACATATGAATATGCAAAATGTGTAAAGAAATACATTTTCGAAGTAAGCCTAGAAGTCATCTAGCATAAATCCCTCATTTTATAGATGAAGAAATTAAGAGATTTCCAAACCTAAAGTGACTCAGTTCATTTGGAGTCAGGATTAGAATCTGTTTCCCTTAATTTTATTGGGAAAACAAAATTTGTACAAAAACTGGAATCCTCAAAAGTTTAATTCCAAGTTAAGACTCCATTTCCATAAAGGATTATTTCTAATGACATTCTTATAATTTTTTTTAAAAAGTGGAATTTTGTAGAGTTCCTTCATCTTTCTCCTGAATTGTAGCATACAGCAAGTGTTCTATGGAACCTTGATTCCATTGGACATTAACAGATGTGATAAGAGATGATGGTTCTTATTTAGATAATTGGGAAGCAAAATTAAAGGAGATTCTATTGAATCATTTCTTGTAATTTTAATATCATGCTAATAGTACGGAGAATCTGGAGTGTATGTGCAGAATATAATATGCGGTACTTGACCTTGAAACCCTTTTTCAGCTCTGTCACAGTATCTTCATGTTCCCTGGAATATGGTTTAGGAAATAACACCATAAGAACTCGTAGGATAAAGGAATAAAAGACCTGGAATACTCTACCAAGGCCAAAGAAATTTTGACTCAGGTATGGTTTTTTTTTAAAAAAAGAAGTAGAGAAGTACTTTAAAACGGAAGGAATATAACCCTGGCCACGTGCTCAAGTTGGTTAGAGTGTCATCCTGATACACTAAGGTTGTGGGTTCGACCCCCTGTCAGGATACATATAAGAATCAACCAATGAATGCATAAAGTGGAATAACAAATTGGTGTTTCTCTCTTGCTCCTTTCCCCTGTCTCTAAAAATTAATTTAAAAAAAGGAATGTATGATTCAAGTAACTAACAATGTTTTAAAGTGTTCGAATAGCTTGAAAATCAAGACAAAACTGCATTACAATCATTACCAGAATATGTAACTTTATGTATTCCCTCCCTTCTAATTTTTGTTTACATAATGTACTTACAGTACACTCACTTTTAATTTACTCACATTCACTAAACATTCATTACTCAGTACTTTACATGTGCAAGGCAAGATCCTGTGGAATCAAAGATAATGAACATATAGTTTCTACCCTTAAGGAATTTAGTGTAGGGTGTGGGGGGTTGTAGAGATAAGTGCTCAGAGGATGTCAACAAATAATGCAATGCCGTAGGTGCTATTGTGCAGAAAATAGTGGGACAGAAGCATGCCTAATAGGGCAAGGGCCTATGTGAGACTTTGATGAATCTCAAAGGTTCACTAGAGACTATGCAATCAAGGCAGGAAGGTAAAAAGAAGAAAAGTAGTTGATAAGCTGGGTCTTCCTATGATCAGATAGGCAGGCATACATTAAAGGACTGATGGGAAGAAAAGCCTTCTTCATCCTAGCCTTGTTGATGCAGTCCTCTATGAACATCTAACATTAGGTTGGCCAAAAAATTTGTTTAGTTTTTTCCATATAATGGTTCTAGTTGTGCTTAGTTGTCTTTAACTTCATTCAAAACAATTTTGTTAGACTGTATTGTGACAGCTGTCATTATTAGCGTGCATTTAAAAAAAATCAAAATTAGTGAATTTTTGTGCAGCCATTTTAATATTGAACATGGAAGATGTGCAACATTTTTAGCATATTATGCTTTATTACTTCAAGAAAGGTAAAAAACACAACTGAAACACAAAAAAAAGACTTGTGCAATATATGGAGAAAGTGCTGTGATTGATCAAACATATCAAAAGTGGTTTGTGAAGTTTCTTGGTACTACTGACATTTTGGCCGAATAATTCTTTGCTGTGGGGCTGTGTTATGCATTGGAAGATGTTTAGCAGAGGCTTACCCATGAGAAACCAATAGCAGGAGGTAGCTGACATATTCAAAATATCCAAATATATAAAGTTATTGGTGAAAATGAAAAATGTGCTTTATACTTTATGGAGAAAACTAAATGGACTTTTTGGTCAACCCAGTATTTCTAAAATCAGACAGAATGGGGGTGGTAATCTTCAGTGTCTCCATATCACCATCACTGTTAAGAGTCCAAACTCTTTAGTTGGCCAAAGAGGCTCTTTCCAACATTTACCTCCCAATCGCTGTCATAGCACTCCTTCCCCTTGCCCTCCACCTCAGCTGTATTAAACAATGTGGAGTCAAAGTTACACAAATTAAAAAATAATATGGTACCATTTTCAGATTGGCAATCAAATTGTTTCTATAATTTTACACCTGGTGAAATGTAAATTGATGCAATTTTCCTAGCAGGCATTTTAAATGAAAATTCCTTTAAAAGTGTGCATACTCTGATCTAGCAATGGCAGTTCTAGTACTGTAACTTAAGAAAAAATAAAACAGAAAAACAACTTAAATATCCAATAGGTTAAATTATGACACAGGCGTACAACTGAACACAAAACCCAATCAACACGAATAATGTTGTAGATTATTTAATGACATTAAAAAACACATCATGCGTATGTGGCCAGCACACCACGTAACATAACAACAAACCTTTAAAGTAGGTAGATTATCCACATTTTAGATATGAAGAGGTTTGAAACAATTTAACTTGCCCAAGGTAAAACAATTAAGTAATGAAGCCAGGATTCAAAAGGAGGCCACCTGGATCTCGAGCCCTCGAGCCTTTCCCTGTCCACACCGCCTCCCAGCTTCCGTGCAGATATAGGAAACAACTATCTACCTCGCAGCGTTGCTGTGAGAAATAATAAACCCAAAGCTCCTGGAACACAGTGGACATTCAATATTCGGAAGCTACTAAATAACTCAAGGTCACACAATCCGTGATGAAACCAGTATTTAAAGCGAGATTTGAATCTCGTAATTCTCGGGACAGCGTAGAAGTCCAGAATCTTTTCTGGGCTTCAATTCCTAAAGCAAAATCAGCACGGACCGCCCCTCTGCCCCGTGGAGTGCACCTCAGAGGTGAGGGGACACAAAACAGCCCTCTTCAGAAAGGACGGTATGCGCCTCAGTCCCTTTAGGGAGACAAGTTCTGCCAGCTTTTCTCACCGGTTACCTGCGGTACCTCCACGCCCTCTCCGCTCAGCCGCCGCCAATTTCCGGAAGTGGCGTAACACTCACGCGCCGGAAGTGAATTTGTGGACTGTGATCTAGTTGTAGCGGACGCCGATGGGCCTGAGGCTCTGCTACGTGTTAGACTAAGGATCTTAGCTGTTTCTTGTAGGCATCTTTTGCCATGACGGCTCAGGGGAGCCTGGTGGCCAACCGAGGCCGACGCTTCAAGTGGGCCATTGAGCTGAGCGCGCCTGGAGGAGGCAGCAGGTGAGATGCCTTTCCCCCAGAGACATGGAACCTGGTAGGATGGGTGGCAGAAAGACTACCCCCGGGGACCTAGCGGCTTCTCTGCCATGGAGGTTTTTGTGCCCAAAGGATGCTTATTGCAGTCTTCCCAATAGGCAGGGGCCTGACCAACCCACAGGAGGGCTTGCTTTCATCAGGGTAGAGGTGCCGTTGAAGGTCTTTACTCCTGTGAGTGGAAGAGGGAATGTGGGATGTAAAGTGTGGGAGTCTGCAGCCTTAGTTTTTTGGTTTGGTTCTTTAGGGGCCGAAGTGACCGGGGCGGTGGCCAGGGGGACTCGCTGTATCCAGTCGGTTACTTGGATAAGCAAGTGCCTGATACCAGCGTGCAAGAGACAGACCGGATCCTGGTGGAGAAGGTACAGAGGTATAGGTGTCGCCGTAGTTTCTAGTCTGGTCCTGACCTACACACCCACTCTTCTGTCCCAGACAGCATATGACTGTCTTACTGTAAATACCCCTTATCCTGAGTATTTGGTAGCTCAACTGCTTGAGATTGTTACAGTAATTTACATATCAGCTCCACAACTGCGTAGTAATTGGAAAAACAAAAGACATTTGGAACATAAGGCTTAAGAAAGTAGGTTGAAAATTTTCTATTGATGGCAGTGCCTTCCAGTTGAAGTCATCCTTTTCTACTCTAATTTCCTTACAGGAAACAACCAATGTGTCAGGATATTCTGTTGGCTTTCCCTTCAAAAAGATTCAAAATCTTAATACTTATTACTTTCACCTATCATCCTGGTCTGAGCCAGTAGCATCCTTTACCCAAATGTATACAGTAGACTAAAAACAACAACAACAAAACAATTCTTTTGAGTTACAGTTTATGTACAGTAAATTGCATTCATTTGAATTACGATTTCTCATTCTCATCAGTATTGACATTTTGGGCTGAATAATTAATTCTTCATTGCGGGGGGCTGTACTGTATATTGTAGGATGTTTAGCAGCATCCCTGACTTCCTATCTGTTTGATGCCAGTAGTGCCTTTCTCCCGTTGAAGTAAAGATGTCTCCAACATTACCAAAGGTGTTTAGGGAGGAAAATTGCCCTCTGCTGATATTTAAACAGTACAATCTGATGAGTGTTAGGAGTAGTATACTACCATGAAACCACCACCATCTTGAAAAGAGAACATTTTCTTTATCTCCAAATGATTCCTTATGTCCCTCTCTGCAGTAGACTTCTAAGTTGTCTCAAAATACTTCCACCTTGCCCCCTGCAGTCTGTTCCCAGCACAGCAGCCAGTATGGTCCTTTTTTTTTTTTTTAAATTCTCACCAGAGGACATACTTATGATTTTAGAGAGGGGAAGGGAGAGAGAGCAAACGGGAGACACACATTCATGTGAAAGAAAAACACCAACTGGTTGCCTCTTGTACGCACCCTTACCAGGGACCGAACCTGCTACCTAGGCATGTTCCCCGACTGGGAATTGAACTTTTGACCCCTTGGTTTACGGGATGATGCTCCATCCAACTGAGCCACGCTGGACAGGGCACCAGTGTGACCCTTTTAAAACATGAGATCATTCCTACTCAAAACCCTTCTGTAGCTCATTTCACTTAGTGTGAAAACCAAAGTCTTTATAATGTTCTGTGTAATTCTACATTGATCAAGCCCTTTGTGACATCTTTAATTTCATGTCCTACCACTTTCCCCTTTGTTCAATGCAGTCTAGTCAGATTGGTCTGCTTGCTAGTCCTTAAATATGCCAGGCAAACTCCCATCTCAGGCTTTTTATATTTGTTCTTTCCTCTTCCTTGCATACTGTTCTCCCAGCTACCTTTATGATTTGCTCTCTCATTTCAATGTTACCTTCTTAATGAAGACTATTCTAATGGCACTCCCTATCCTGTTTTCCCACTTTATATTTCCCTGTGTCATTCATATATATGATATAGTTTACTTATTTTACTGCCTATTTTTTCATCTTGTAAGCTCCACGAGAGCATGATTTTGTCTCCCAAGTGCCTCGAACAGCGTCTGCACTTTCTTTCCGTTCAGCCTTATTACTATTATTGTTCAATACTAAATGATATTTGCTTCATGAAATTCAAGGATTTTCACATGAAAATGACAGAGCTGTTATCATTTTTTGATAATTTTCATCTTAGTATCAAATTGTAACATAATTCATGATAGTAAAAGTGTTATTAAAATGGCCTAATTTTAAAGGTAGATTATCATAAAATAGTTCCTTTACAACAGTTCTGGATGGACGATGTGATATTTAAACTTCCAGACAAATGATCTTTTATTTAAATAACACATTAGAAAACTATTTACAAGTATAGCCTTTTATTCTTTTAATGTAAGTAAATCTGAGTGGATAGTGGTGTAATATTATTTTTATATAGCTAGATTTGCTTTGCTAATATTTTGTTTAGGATTTTTGCTTTTAGGTTCATGTCTGACAGTGGTCTATAAACTTTTCTTAAAATGCCCTTGTCAGCTTTTGGTATTTATGAGGCCCCATATAATGAGTTGTTGAGTTGTAAGGCGTTCATTTTTATTCTCTAGGTTTGCATAAGATTGGCATTTTTTTTTTCCTCAAATGTTTAGAATTTGCCAAGGAAAACTACCTGGGCTTAATTACAGATTCAGTTTTTTTAAACAGTTGGAGGACTATTTATATTTCCAATTTCTTATGCCATTTAGGTAAATTGTATTTTTTCTAGTAATTGAACCATTTCCTAAAATTCATAATATCATCACTTTCACACTTACAAAACTTATAGAGCTGTCCCTTTTTTCATTCCTGCTATTGAATATTTATCTTCCATTCATTTTTCTTTACCAGGCTCACCAGTATTGATGTTTTTAATCTTAAAAAAAAAAACAAAAACCAACAACAAAAAAAACCCCTTCAGCTTTTTTGATTTAAAGACAATTTTACTAATTACTACTCTCATTTTTATTTCCTTTTCATTTCCTTGGGTTTAATTTGTTCTTTTTCTAACTTATTGAAATAGATGCTTAATTTATTTTTAGTCTCCTAATATGTATTTAAGGTTATAAATTTCTCAGAGTTCTAGATATGTCCCAGAAGTGTTAATATGTATTTTGATCAGTTAAAAATACTTATATTTTCCATTATAATTTGTTTGATTCATGAATTATTTAGAGTACATTCTTTAATTCCAACTCATAAGGGATTTTCTGGTTTTCTTTTTGTTACTGATTTCTAGCTTAATTGAATGGTAATCAGAGAACATGCTTTATATAATCTGAGTTCTTTGAGAGTTGTTGACACTTCTTTCATGGCTCAGCTTTCCATGGTCAGACATGGTCAGTTTTCCCAAGTGTGTTTGAGAAGAATGTGAATTCTGCAGCTGTTGGGTGCAATGTTCTATATATGTCAGTTGGGTTAAGTTTATTAATAACGTTTTTCAAACCTTCTGTTTCTTATTTGTCTGTACTATTAGTTATTGATTGAGGAATGCTAATCTCTCGCTGTGTAGATTTATCTGTTTAGTCAGTTGTACATAGGACAATGATAGAATGAGCAGGGAAAGCCTTTCTTTAGCTAGAATTGTGGGGGAAAATACCATGTGAAGAACCTATAGGGAAAAATATAACACATAGTGAGGATGCCTTATCTTTATTTCTTATTGTATTTTTTCCATTACCATTTATCCCTCTTATACCCTCTTCCATCTCTACCCATCCCTGTCCCCTGACAATCACCACTGTTGTGTCCATGAGTCCTTTTTCTTTTTCATTCAATCCCATCCCCCAACCTTTTGCCCCTGTCAGTCTGCTCTCTATCTGAGTCTGTCCCTATTTTGCTTATTAGTCTAGTTTGTTGATTAGATTGCACATATGAGTGAGATCATATGGTATTTGTCTTTCTCTGACTGGCTTATTTCACTTAGCACAGTGTTCTCCAGGTCCATCCATACTGTTGCAAAGGGTAAAATTTTCTTTTTTATGGCCGAGTAGTATTCCATTGTATAAATGTCCCATAATTGTTTTATCCATTCGACCGATGGACACTTGGGCTGCTTCCAAATCTTGGCTATTGTAAATAATGCTGCAGTGAACATAGGGGTGTTTATATTCTTTCAAATTAGTGTTTCGGGGTTTCTTCGGATAAATTCCCATATGTGGAATTGCTGGGTCATTACGCAGTTCAATTTTTAATTTTCTGAGGTATCTCCATACTGCTTTCCATAATGGCTGCACCAATCTGCATTCCTACCAACAGTGCAAAAAGGTTTCCCCTTTGTCCACAAGGATGTCTTATTGTTAGTAGATCAGACTTCCTGTGGTCACATTGAGGCCAGAGGTGGTAGAACTGAGGTGTCCGTTCAGTCAGAAGCACAAATTGAGAATTTTGTTCATTTGACTATAACATCAGTGGTACAATAAATGTGAGACTGAAGATAGTGATCAGAGGTTAAAATTGTCTTTGTTTTAGCGCTGCTGGGACATTGCCTTGGGTCCCCTCAAACAGATTCCCATGAACCTCTTCATCATGTACATGGCAGGCAATACTATCTCCATCTTTCCTACTATGATGGTGTGTATGATGGCTTGGCGACCCATCCAGGCACTTATGGCCATTTCAGCCAGTAAGTATTTTTGAAATAATAACCCTCCCCAAAGTTTGAAGAACTAGAAGCAAATTCTTAGCAAAACTGGTATTAGAAATCCTTGGCATGGCCCTTGGCTAGGAGCAGGGGGAGGGTGTGCAGGGTGGTGACATGGAGGGGAAAACAGTGCTTATCATGTTTTTTTTTGTTGTTGTTCTTTTAATTGTCCTATTTACTATTTAACTATGTGCCTGTGCATATTATTTATATTATTTTAATATGTGGCTTGCCTCATAATTTTTTTAAAAGTTATTTTGTTTTTGACACTTTGTTACCCCAACAGCTTTCAAGATGCTAGAAAGTTCAAGCCAGAAGTTCCTTCAGGGTTTGGTGTATCTCATTGGGAACCTCATGGGTTTGGCATTGGCTGTTTATAAGTGCCAGTCTATGGGACTGTTGCCTACACATGCATCAGACTGGTTAGCCTTCATTGAACCCCCTGAGGTAAGGCAAAAGAAAAGTTAACTTTGGGGCCTGCTGTAATAGACAGTAAATAAATGATCCATTTGATGGTGGATTAAAGTTCATTTTTTTTTTTTTTTTTTTAAAGATTTTATTTATTTTTAGAGAAAGGGAAAGGGAGGGAGAGAGAGAAACATCGATTGGTTGCCTCTCATGTGTGCTGCAACTGGGGACCAGCCTGCAAGCCCAGGCATGTGCCCTGACTGGGAATTGAACTGGTGGCCTTTCAACTTTGCGGAATGACGCCCAACCAAGAGTCACACCGACCAGGGCAGGGCTCATTTCTTAAGAAATAAGATCCATTAGGAGTGTGGAAGTTACTTTTTTAAAAGATTTTATTTTAGAGAGAAGGGAAGGAAGGGAGAGGGGAAACATCGATGTGGGAAACATCGATGTGAGAAACATCGATTGGTTGCCTTTCTCACACCTCCAGTGGGGAACCTGGGCAACCCAGGCATGTGTTGCCCAGGGAATCAAATTGGTGTCCCAATCAAGTTCGCAGGATGACGCCCAACCCACTGAGCCACACCAGTCGGGACTGGAAGTTATTTTTTAAGGATCAAATAACTTGTGATTAAAGTATGTATTAAGTACTTGATTCAAGAAGTTATTTCATTGCTCATTCCCACTCACCTATTTTACTTTCTTGTTTTAGAGGATGGAGTTCAGTGGTGGAGGATTGCTTTTGTGAGCCTGAGAACGAAGCAGCTGTTACCTATGTATTTGGATCTCATATACAACCCTCTTTATACCCAGTGGCTACACGGAGTGGCTCCTCCTCACTATATCAAAACCTAACGTTATCATTCATGCTGAAAAGAACCAAAAGTACTCTTTTCTCCATGGTGAGGAGACACCTTAGAAAGAATGTACTATCATTACAAACACAAAGAAACTACCACAACCCTTGACTGAAAATAATGTAGAAAACTTTATTTATGTTTCCAGTATAGAGCAAAACAACAAATAAAACCATAACTCTATGTAAACAAAAGAATGGTTGCTGCTAAATCAAAAACCACCGCAGCATCTCCTTTCAATAAATTAAATGGTCAAGAACAGTGCTTTAAAAAAAATTGTACATGTTTCCCTTAAATATATTTTCCTTAATATTTTACTTCTATTCAACACAAGCTGGGACATAAAAATTCTGTTGGAGATGCTTGTAGATGATGTGAGAACTAATGCTGGATTCTGATTATACATGATGAAAAGAAAAATCAGACAAAAAGAGCAGATAAATAGACTTACAGTGTAATTGCTACTTTAATATCCACAATAATGGATTTTTAACACGTTTAGGGGGAATGAGGATTGGAGGAATCGGAGCCACAGGAATCTGAGGCAATGGAAGATACAAAGTGGTCTTCTTTCCCCTGCCAAGAGGAAACTGGTACCCAACAAGCAGATGCTACATTTCAAACTTCAGCTTTTAAGATAGCTATAGAAGGCAGAGGGCCAGCAATTGGAAAATGTATGTTATCATATAACCTGCCCTGGTAAAGTCATAGCTAAGACTTAAAAGCTGGATCTTATTCAAAAGGCAGGAGGAAGTCTTTTCTTTCTCTTCCTTCTTGAAACACAAAACCCCTTCCCCTAAGGTGCATCTTTTCAGTATTGCTTTATTTGCAGTGATTAAAAGAGACAAGACACTTTGCAGACAAACAACATAAGCAACAGAAAGACATGAAATGCTCTAGAGAGAGAAGAGTTTAAATCTGGCCTAATAACCATTTTCACATGTAACAGTGATTTTGTTTTAGGGGCTGAAGTAGGGACTATTATTAGTAGCCACTAATTCCCTTATCCCTTTAAAAGATCTTACAGAGCTTCAACTACAAAAAACTTAAAACTAACCAACTTCTGCCCATACTTTTTATATATGAAAAAATATATATATAAATATACTGCTTAGGCCAGAGGGTCTGTGTAAATGTAGAGGAATTCCAGGCAGGCTGACCTTTAGAGCATGGATCTTCAATATTTTGGGTCCTGGGGAACCTGTCCTCAACTAAGCAATGGAGTGTTGCAATGGAAGTTGTGAACAATGCTTTTACCCTCTGCAGGAAGGAGCAGAATAAAAGACGCAAGGTTCTGTCTGCTTTGTTATCCTGACTGGGCCTGGAGATTGAAAAAAAAAAGCAAAAGGAACAAACAAATTTCTTAAGCCATATTGAAGGGTTTTCTCCTCTAAGGGTCAAATGAACAGTCTGCTGGCACCTAGGTCAGCTTGTTCCATATCCTATTGGGTAATCAAAAGCTTCATATCCTATTCTGTAATCAAAAAATGGCACTACTGGTCTATAAAGTGAAATTCAAAAGCAGCCATAAATACAGGCAATAGTTTATCTAAATAACCTACCCCATAAAAGAAATGACCTCATATATTCGAAATTACCACTTAGACACAGGGTAATTTCCCTATGCTCGAAAGTCAGGTGTATTGTGCTCAGTAAATTAGCAAATAAAAAGCTAAGCTTGCGTATGTATTTCTGTAACACTCTATAAGCATCTGAAACAAAACTGGAATAGCAGACTATTTATTGGCTTGGACAATCTCTTGGTTTAGAGCCAAGTTTCTGCGTTCAGAATAAAGAATAAAATTGAATATGTGCATCTCTGGGCATTTAGGTGAGTGCCTCAAGTCTTCACTATGGCTTTAGAAATGATTCCACAGGATTCGTAGTGAAAGAAGTTTGAGCTAGGCCAATGCCAACTGTATGCCACTTCAGTGAAGCAGGTAAGCAGAGTAGCAGCATCTCAGTAACTTTGGCACTATGGAAGGAATATGGCTCAGGAATTTCTAGTTCCATTGCTGGATTTCCCCTTTGAAACAAACATTTTGGAGAAGAATTTTAGCCAGTCTTCTTAGGGTTTGTTCCTATGATTTTTGACCTGTGCCTATTAACCCAGAGAGTGTAAAAAGGGAGAAGCAAAGGTGAACCTATTGGTCAGTGTGCATCACCATCTATATTTCTTAGATAACAGCTTGTATGTTTTACCCTTGTCACATAGCAACCTGATTATATTTCAGTAAATCTTAATAGCTATCTTTAGAATTTCCTTAGTTTGGCCATTTGAAAAGAACCTGAAATAATTTTTACTCCACTGTTTAAAAACAATTTCCATGGTAACACTGCCTGTATTACAATCAATCACAGAGAGAGGGCTTTGAGAAACAAACATTTGAAATACACAACAACCCAATATGTGTACTTAAACCTGGCATTTGGGAGAAAAACTTGTTTTGGAGACGTAGTAGAAGCTGCAGCCATGTTTCAGTTTTTGTACATTAGTACCCTAATATAAAATTAGAATCCTGGGGAACAGTGGATACACTCAAGACAATTAGCACAAAAAAGTTTTCATCTCGGTTTGCTATCGGTTATCCTGGCCAGGATGTTAGGTCTCCATATACTTGACCATGAATTCCTTAGTATTTCTCTGTTACCTTCATGGTGTTATCAAGGAACCATGACTTAATGAGACTCATCTTTGATACTGGCTTACTGCTTTTTGTCTTTAGTTGAATTTCTAGTATCCTTTCTGCCAATTCATTTTACTGGTTTAACTTGTTAATTCTAACTTGCCTTCAACTGGTATAAACATGGCTTTAGGACTTGACCAGTTTTCTAATGTTGAGGGAATATTTGATTCGTCTGTAAGGACAGCAGATCAAATGGGAGCAAAGAGCAGAACTATTTTTACTTTGTTGCACAAGTTCTTGAGGTTCAGCTCATCAAGAGTTCATTTAGGTGACGTGTGGAGAACACAGGCCTCTAGTTGGTTGGTATGATAGTAAAGAGCTGGCACTTCCATGGAGGATGGAAGCCCCTTAGGAGAGATGAAGCCAAGCAGAGTCATTCAGGAGTAGATTATGAATAAATGGTAATCACTTCACTGCCACCACCTCGGACAAGAAGGACTCGCTCTAGTCCCTCAGTGAGCACCTCCAGGAACTCCATGTCTTCAGAATTAGTTAAGGAGACAAATAGGCGAAAGAGCACACTTTACACTCTGGTATCATAATCAGAGTTTATCTGATTACAAAGCTATAAAATCAACATGCTTGTTTTAATTATTGTATACTCAGAATTAGAAGACTACTTTGTAATTCAGTTTCACCCTACGAATTAACTCAGGGATCTAGTCCCTTTGCATATATAAGACTGTTCCAGTGGTTCTATGAGACCCTAGTTCCCTAATTAGGTTTTATGGGCGCTTAATCCCTTCTAGAGTAGTTTCTGTTTTTCTTACTCAGCCCTGACAAAGAATTTTGTACCAGAAGCAGTTCTGGGAAACAAACTCTCAAAGATGGGAATCTGGCCTAATTATACTTACAGGGATTGATAACTGATAGTGGTAGTTCATGACATACAGTGGGCAAGATATGTATTTATCTATTTTCATTGTTTTTTGCTGAGCATGGAATATTCATTGAGGGGAAGTCTTTGGGAAACTAAGTGGCTGCTACAATTGATTGTTCAGTAGGAATAATAATAAAAAGACTATGGCAAATTCTAACTGAATTTAAAAAAAGGACTTCCCCATTTGGAGGATTTTTTTCTAAATGTTTTTTTTAATGGGGAAAACCCACAAATAATGTTACAATGTAGCAAAATAAGGCAAACCCCCCCCCCCCCCCCCCCCCCCAAAAAGGTCACAACAGGGCAGTTTAGGATTCCTAGAGAGAACCCAAGTAATTTCTAAGTGAAGCTGCTCAAGTCGAATTTTTCTGCCAGCTCTTTTTTTCCCTTTTTATAAATCTCTTTTCCTTAATAGTACTGATAGGAATGGGCCAGTCAACACCACTGCAAGCTGAAGTGGCCCCATAAAAAATTCTGGGATCTGAGTATGAGAAAGAGCCTTTCTCCCTTTTTTTTCCTTCAAAGGAGGGTCCACTTCAATTGCCTCTCCCCCAACAACATCCAAAAGAAAGAGGCTTTGCAAGTGCAGAGAGCCTGAAAAAAAAAAGATTTGGGTATTCCATCTCCAGGAATGTCAGGGTTCTGTACACAATACTAGAAGTAATGTTGAAAATATAACACCTAAAAAGTCTTCTAGAGTTCAGAGAGAACTTACTACATTAATCCAGTAAGAAGAATCTCACTGCTTTGTAAGAATCCTTGCCTAAGGCTTAGTCTTCCCTCCTCAAGAAGGAAATTTTCGAAGTGACAATGACTTTTACAGTTACCTAGTCTCATCTGAAAAAACAAGCTAGTATTTTCTTTACTGGTAAAAGGATACAGTTTTCATCACCCTCAGGGTTTCGGGGTGGCCCTGGCATATTCAACAAAACCAGCTTTGCTTCATGAGACTTATTAACTATTACTTCATTGAGCTTCACTGCTGTATGCATCCGCCTCACATTGGACTGGTCCCTGGGAGAAAAGAGGGAAGGGGAAGAAAGACAAGGCAAACAGAAAAATAGGCATATAGTCAACAACCTTAAAAAATTTGAGATACAGAGGTTTTTTGCTTTGAGTATGAATAATGAACGAAATGATTTCCTTACTAGTATCTTGGGTTTTCTCATTCTATGTTTGCTTGTTTTATAGAAGGAACACAGTATAGAGAAAAGCAATGGTTAGCTTGTGTACAATGTTAATTGGTAGCTGATGTCCACAGGCAAACCACAGAAAGATGGCTGGATTTGGGGTGAAATGAATATCCTGGTAAAGTCATAACTGTTGCACTGACTGGGCTATTATGGTATGTGATAAGTTGGTGAGTTGAAAAACTTACGGACGCATGTTAAGCAGGTCCTGGAATCCTTCCATTGACTTGGCCTTTTGCCCCCGGGATGCCATGTACTTGTCTTTTGTCCAGGTCATGTGTACCTTCTCCTGATAGGTTTCTGTCTCTTCATCCTCATCAGAGCCAATGCTGGTCAATCGTAGCATTGAATTCCGGTCTTTTACCAACTGTGCCTGAGGAAGGTCCAACACAGCTCTGACTGTATACTCAAATTTTTGTCATGCTTCATCTTTCAATTATTTTGAAACAATAATGTGATTATAGTGGGATAACTAATACAATGAGAAGGAAAGAATCTCTCATCTTATAAAACAACACAGTATCATACCTTTCAGTGACACACTTCGTAGGGCCAGGATTAGATTAATGCAGCAAGGTCTTACCTCTCTGTCCCGCTCTGTCTTGGACAGTCGCATGTGCCGGAGCATCTGGGACCTTTGCTCCATCATCAGAGTGCGTTCATAAGTATAAGCTGATATGTCACTGTCATGCTGCCACGGATAGCAGAGTGAGCAATAAGCAAAAATGAGAAAGAAGGATGAACCACACATTTTCATTTCCACTCACTAAATTAAATCAGAGAAAGTATCACAATATTGACCTAAGATTCATCCCATTGTTTAGTCATTGAACTACATAAACACAGTATTGTGGATTGTAGATGAAATCCAGAAGCCCTGAGAATCATTTCCATAGTATAACCATTACATATGTGTTTCCTTAAAATATAAAACACAAACTTTAGCCTTTAAAAAAAATAATCCTAGGTTATTAAAAAGTCTCTGTCATTTTAGCATGAATATATTAATGAAAACAATGAAATTAAGTGGACAAGAACCTTACAGAAACTTAAGGTCTATGTAACAAAGAAGAAGTCAAAAATTAAAAAACCATCAAACATATCACATACACAGTCTACTTATCTAGATAGATATATTAGGGTTGTATTGGAACTAAGGGATTAATACACATTTGCAGCTCAAGAATTTCTGAAACCAGAAAAGGTACTAGGGAGACAGGATGGGGAGCGGGGAGGGAGGGTTTCTTTGATCTCAGACTCAGCTTTCTTACCATCTCTACCACTTCCACCTCTGCCTCAATGCGCAGGTGATACAGGAAGGTGGCCAGGTCCTTCTTCATCTGAATACTATTGTCCTCTAGTTGGGCTACTGTGAAGATACGTATGCTGCATTTTCGCCACACCTGAGAAAGTACCATACATACATGGAAAATCTGATGTAAGAAGGCAAAAGTGAGCTATTTCTTAAAACATAAGGCATTTACCTAGAATATCTTGCTAGTATCAGGGTGTTGGTTCCTAGCTTCCTACTTGCAACATTATTGTACTAGGTCAAGAGCTGACTAAGGAACACATTAAATAATGTTTTAAGAAGTTCTTAATTTCATAACAAGAAAACCCCTGGCAAAAAGGAAAAGATGGTATGTGCTACATTAAGGCAGTGCTTTATTCAGATAGCATATTGATGACACCATGCATACAGACTATATTATTTAAAATTTCATTTTGTTACACATACACATGCACACACTCCCTTGGGTTTCCAAAATTTGAGACCTTGGTCTTTTTTTTTAAAAAAAATCATTTTATATTTTTATTGATTTTGAGAGAGAGAGAGAGAGACAAAGGGACAGAAAGAAGGAAAAACACTGATTTGTTATTCCACTTATCTATGAGTTCATTGGTTGATTACTATATGTGTCCTTCCTGGTTGGTGATTGAACCCACAACCTTGGTATATCAGGATGATGTTCTAACCAACTGAACTATCTGGCCAGGGGTGGCCTTTTTTTTTTTTTTTTTTTTTTTTTAAAGAATGTGTTTACTTGTTAATATTTTTTCCAAGGGTTCATGTAAAACTTAATTAATTTACGTAAGTTCACTTGGAGATAGGTAAATATCAACCACGAAGAAAATGTTTCTCATAAGGTTGAAACTAGACATCACAGGAGAACCAAGAATAATCCCCAACTCTTCTCATTCTATACCCCAGCACTATATAATCAAAGAGGAATAATTTATCTAATGAACAGGACAGAAGTTAAGGGAGAGAGACTTTTTAAAAAGATGTCTGAAATACCTTGTGCTGCTTCAGCAGGAACGGTAAGAGCATCAGCATGCCCCCGTCGTGCACAATCCACCACACATCGATGTTGCCCTCAGAAAACTGCTCCGCGTTGCTGGGAAAGAATGAGATATTTTTAGCCACTAGCAGGGCCAAATGGGCAGCGGTTGTCACTCGAACTGTGCCTAGAGAGAAAAAAAAGAGAGAATCAGGATTAGCAGAGAAGCCACCTTAGGACTGCCCTGCTTCCTACCATGACAAGAAGGCAAGAATAATGTTCCTTTACATTTCTTTGAGCAAGTGTCCTATTTACATAATAGGTTATATATCTCATCAAGCGACAAAATCAATGAGGAAAAAAAAGCTAACAGAATTAGATTGAATGCCACAATGTATATTACTAGATATATTCTGTTAACCACATTTCTAAGGCAAGGGTGTATGTGAATTTGGGAGATTTTTAAGATGAAGGAAAATCCTAATTCCTGAGAGAATTCAATGTGAGAGCTCACAAACTGAAAATGTCAAATTTTCACAAATGAAAATTTTAGAGGTAATTCCTAATATAAGACTTGACCGAGGTAAAAATTTATGAACATAATGTAAAGCTAGAGGGGGTGAGTAGAATAAGGTTATTAGTACTAGTAGTTATTTAGGTTTCCTTCCAAGGCCATGCTTCAGCAAGGGCATAGTCTCTACTTAGGAGGCTAGGGGATGGGGTTAGGGTAACAGGATTTAACTACATCCTCTATTTGGGCCTGTGGAATAGTATGAAAAGTGTTTTATACCAATAAAAGTCTTCCAAGCTCGAGCATCTTCACTTTGGCGCCAGCCATTAGGCCACCCCATCACCACCGTGTTGTGCTTCATGCCACCAAGGCCACATGACTGGATGAGGTGGGAAATGCCCTCTTTCAGCTTGGCGGCCACCACTAGCTGGCAGAATCCTTTCACTTTTTCTACCTCCATTAGGTTCTTTATGGTCTGAAAGAGAGACATAACTTTAACACTGACTTGCTTCATCCTAGACCTTATTTATTACTCCTTCTCTAGTCCCCTTCTTCTTTCCAGACTCTGCCCAAGACCATATCACCCTATAGAAAAGTCCAAAAGTTAAAAGTTATCCCAATAAAATTTCATGATCCTTTGTCTTCTTCACTTTCTAAGTGCTTATTATATATACAGGTGGTTGTCTACATGCAGTTCCTCTTTTTCTCTATTCTGCCATTTTTCCCCTTTAACACACCCAAAAAATTGACAATAGGGATCTTCACAAAATGAATCATCGATATTCTTTCTTAATTGGCCAGGTTGGGTGTGACCATGATCTTCCTTCCTCAGTCAGGCATGCCCTGACTCATATTACTAGAAATTTAATCTGATAATCATTTCACTTCAGAATTTTTTCAGGCATGTTTTCTTTTTTGTCTCTCCTATCTCCATATTCTTTTTGATATTTTAATGGTGATTATTGATGACATTTGTAATTGCTGCACTATTCTTTTATTTATTCAAGCCAATTTGGAGATGATATTTTTTTGATATAATCTTTATTATATTTCTTTTTCATTACCATTTTTAGTCCCCTTGAGATAATATTTCATTTAGTCTTTCTCTACCCTGTTGGTGGAAGAGTGAAGGGAATGATGATGTGGAAAATGTATATGACTTTCCCAAAGGAACATATAGGTTAGTACTGGAGCTAGGATATTATACAGGGTCTCTTGATTTCCAATCCTATGCTTTTTATTTGTTTTACCATCATTCTGGACTAATATATATATTTTTTCCCCAGCATTTCCAGTGTTTAGGGTTTCAAAGCATTCCAAAATGAAATCCAGTAAAAATTTTGAAATGTAATTGAAATTTTCCCTAAACACAGGGTAAATTCTATCATTTATAAGGAGAATTAGAGTGAAAACTACTTTCTTCTTCGGGGAGAACTTTAATATTAAGTTAGCTAATCAGAAGTAGCAAAGAAACTTGCTCATGATACCATGCAGGTTAGTAAAGAGGGAGAAAAGCTGCTCATTGCTCCTTGTTGACACAGGATTGAGAAAAATCATCTCCGTATTCCAAAGAATAGATTTATTTACATGACTTCTCTCAGGGCTCAGTTAATGTCTGGAGTCTTCTGGAAATTGTGCTTAGCCTTGATAATCTTATAGTTTAGTAATGCTTTAAATAATAAGAAAGAATACATTATTATTTTCTGGCTCATCTCATTATTTGGGAGAATATGACTGTTCAAAAGACAGCATTCAAAGGGAAATATCCTAGTAAGACCTCAGATATCCTTTCATGAGTGATGAAAGGGATTAATTTGGATATCTGGGGTCTTACTATTCAATCAGAAAACCTGAAGCTAAATTCCACCGAGTTGATAAGCCTTGACTCTTACCTGTTCAGCAGCTAAAGCTTCACCATAGTTTTCCAGGAAGTTCCCCACAATTACAGACCCCACGATAGTGAGACCCTTTCCTGCTTTAAGCTGTGAAGCAAAGGTGAGGAGGCGAGGATGCTTGACATGTAAGTCTTCATCTAGTTTCAGCAATACGAGCAACTGAGGCCTGTAAAGAAATTGGTGGGGGGTGGGATGGGAGTGAGGGGTAGGGTTGTGGGTGAGAAAACACTGGATTAGGGGAACAGAATGGCAATTCTATCCCTTAATTCAGGAGATCTGTGTAAAACATGTAATTTGACAGAAGGGAGAGATTAGAAGAAATCACAAAAGTACAGAATTACTTGAGTCCTTCCAGTATTATCTGAAATTGATCGATCTTCATGGAAGAATAAAAACGGTAGAAATCAAGATCATAAATCACATGAAGAAAAATGAATAAAGAAATCAAGGATATGGGACAGTTCAAAACAGGTTCATTACACCAATTCCTTGAGCCACATGATTTCCTTACCCTGTAATCAACGACACACACATTTCTGAGTGTAGCTATATGCCAAACACCATTAAAGTTCTGGTCAATTCTTTTTTTAAAAGTCTCTTATTTACATTAAATTTTTTTTTTAACTGAGGTACACTGATTAATAACATCATGTAAATTTCAGGGGTACTACATTCTAATTCAATGTCTGTATATGCTATTGCATGCTCACCACCAAAAGTCTAGTTTCTATCCATTACCATATATTTGACCCTTTTTACCCATTTTGCCCTCCCCTATCCCTTCTTTACCTCCAGTTTTTAGTGTGTGGAGGTCCTTCCTCCAGGCGAAGCAAAGCAAACCGAGCTGCGCTGAGGGACAGCCCACGGATACCATCGCCCCACTCCTTCTCAGCTCTGGGAGGAAAAGGGAAAAGAGCAGGAACAGATTTAAACTACAGCAAGTACAATTTCAAAAAAATAAAGTTTGTTTTTTCTGAATATAAAAGTAACATATTCATAAGGTAGAAGATTAAAACTCATATTAATCAATTACACAATACTCTTTACTAACAAAATAAACTCCCTGTAAGCAGATCACCACTAATGTTCATCAACAGACTATACTGCGCCCCAGCTGGAACGGTCACTCACTCATCCTTCTGTGTAACTATTTAAAAGCAGTAATGTAAAATAGCAATTTGAATTGGGAAATTAATACAGACCCAAATTTATTTTGAAAATAATGGGAGAAAGATTACTCAATGTAATCTTCTGAATCAGTGTTATTTATTGCTGATTTTTGGGAATTGCTTGTCAAGTCTTGGTTGTTACAAAGTTATTCAGGACTGACTTCTTTTTAATTTTAGAGAGATCTCTTGACTAAAGAGGTATTTATATGTTATAATTTAATACTCATTATTTGAATATGTTCTTTTAGTTACTTTTTTTTGTCAATCCATTCATACTTTCTCAACAGGTTCCTCTTGTAATTAAAAGCTGTGTCTATAGGATGGTTTAGAGAATCATCAGGGGTACAAAATTTAGTTATGAATAAAGTAATCCGGACACTAATACAATTTTCTTTGGGTTGGCTCTAAGCAACGTGCCAGTTTTGATACTTTTTGCAGTGATCAAGGTCAAATCCACAGACTCACCCTTGGTATTCAATGTACTTGTAGATCATACCAGCTATTACCATAGCTACGATGGCATAATACCAGGAAGAAATGAACATCAAAGCCAGACAGATACTCATTCCCATGAAAGAAAGGGCCCTAGAAAATTAAAAACAAAAACACAAACAGAAAATTGTTCTTCTAAGTAGCTGGGAAAAAAGCCTTTATTACATGTGCTTTTCAAATGATGGTGAGACCATTGCAGACAGTGCTTGAGTAAAATGCAATTAGAATGAGTTAGACAACCACATTTAAAATTTTTCTGTGCAATGAACTTCTTTGTTCTGTAATTCATTTCAAAGAATAAATAAGAGAGCTATTAATCTGGAGAGTAGAATCTAATGAAAATACAGGATTGTTAGAGAACAAGTACATATAGGATATACTATAGAACTTTTAGCTATGAGAGAAAAGAAATGAGAAAGAGGTGGCATGGTAGTTAAAAACATGATGGCTCTTTTAGGATTGAGGAGATGAATATGATAGCAACATTTCACTGAGCGCTTTACCACGTGCTATGCACTGTGCTAAGCACTTTAGAGTATCTCAAAGCAATCCTATGAGATAAGAAATACTATTAGTCCCATTTTACAAATAATAAAAAGAAATTTTTTGGTTATGTGCTTTGCTTAAGGTTACAAAGCTAGGAAATAGTAGAACTGACATTTCAACTTAGTTCATCAGACTCCACAGCTCATACTTCTAACTACTAAATGAAATTTTCATAAGCAAGAGAGTTTGACAATGAAACTGGTAAGAATAGAAGAGCACGGATAGAAAGCAATGAAGTCCAATGCTTACGTAAGAGGGAAGTGGAAGGAGCTATGCAAAGGGAAAAGTTGTTTTAATCTGAAGAATGCAGCAGGATGAAAATATTTATTTCATAGTTTTGATCTTTATTTCCAAGTGAATGTTATCAATTATTATTAAACATTATATGAAAAACATGGTAGTAAGTTGGGAATTCAGGTGAGCACTGAAAGTTAAAATAGCTGGCCGAGAAAAAAATCCTATCAAGATCCCAGAACCTCCTAGTTTTCCAAGTTCAGTGATGGGCTCTCTCTGAATTTGGGGAGAAGAAAGAAGAAGAAGAAAAGCAGACTTACCAGTGATAGTAGCGGAACCGGGGTCTCCAGTTGGGTGTTCTAAGTAATGTTTGCAAGGCACATGCCAAATTCACAAAGAGGTAACACATGAGAAAAAACCTGGCAGAATAAAAAAGTAAGACGAATAATTGTTACTGTAAAATGATTCTTCAAGGGCTATTTTAAATAACTTTGCTGTATTGAAGCCTTTGTTCTAACCCACTAGCCTTTGATTAAGATGAGTAAGTAGAGAAGTGTAAATAATTCCCACAAACCTGCTGACTCTCCTGTGTTCTCTCAGCAGTGATATTACCACTCCTTACCCAGGGGTTCTTTGTTACTCATCCTTGTTCCAAATTCACTTCTCAAGTCCTATGGGTAATGCATATTTAAAAATCTCTACCACTGTCACCTTAGTTCATGCTGTCACTGCTTCTCCGCTAGGTAAATAAGCTTCCAATTAGCATTCCAAGCTCAACTTTAGCTTCTTTCTAATCTACCTTTTATACCAAATTGATCATTCTGAAACATTAATATTATCATTTTGTTTTTAAAGTGCTACTACCCCCTTCTTCCAGGTGACAGTTCCAGGTCCTTTGTGATCTGCCTCTACCTGCTTCTTTGGTCTGTTGCTTCCCAACATGCACCCCCGACTCCATCAATGCCTAGTTGCTTTCAGCTCTCTGGATGTGCTGCATTATTTCATTTCTCAATTCCTTCACACAAATCCTCTGCCTGGAATATCTTTCACCCCTTTGGTACTTAGTAAGTAACCAGTCCTCCTTTAAGATACAAGTGTCATTTCCTTCAGAACACCTTTCTTGAGTCTCAGTCCATTTAGATGTCTCATTTAAGAGCCCTTTTATAGCACTCAGTGTACACTTCTACCACAGTATTCATCATGCTATGCAGGGATCATTGCTTCCTTCATCTTTGTATTCCCAGTATAATGCCCAGTGCCATGTAGGTAGTAAGTCATCAGTACGTCACTGATGAATGGAAAAAGGCTCACAGTAGTAGTAAATGCTACCACCAATTGTTAATGATCAGAAATGAAGGCAAAGAACATTTGAAGTTATACAGGTAGGAAGAAATTATGGCAATTAGCCATACATGAAACTTCTCGGGAATATTTATTTAGGTGAAGTTATACCTGTAGTTGGCTCACTCTGTTGTTATCACTACTGTTTTATGCCTGATGGAAATCAACATGTATTATACATCACACAAGCAAGAATAAGTAAAGGCTCTTTACATGGAAAGAATAACTGGCTCTTACATGGAAAGAATTGGGGCTACAAGATCCAGAGAGGCGATAAGGATTCCCAGCTCTGCAATGGCAGCAGTCAGAAGTAAAGCCCAGGTAGGTTCCCCATTGGCTTTGCTGTGACCAAAAACCTGTATAGAGAAGGGAAACATCAGACATAGGAGCGTGGGGAGTGTCTGAATCAGTGGTACAGTTTTAGATATCTGAAAGATAATACTGTTACAACAGTACTGTCTTTTACATGCCTTTATTCAACTCACATATAAACTTATACTACAAATTTAGTGAGCCTTATGGTAAAAACCCACATCTTCATATTATATGATCTACTAATTTCCAAGCCTATAAAGACCACAGTGTTTCTCAAAAGACCTGAGAAAAAAGGAGGAGGGCACCAAAAAGGGTCACTCACCCTCAGAAAGGGTATGATGTTATCCTTTGCTATAGCCTGTAGCAGCCGCGGTGCACCTGTGAGACTCTGAAGTCCAGCCCCACATGTTGAGAAGAAGGAGCCAATAACGATCACCCATGGGGATGGCCAAGATAAGGTACCTACCACCAGATTACCTTTCACAGCATCCCCAAACCTGAGAGAGAAATAAGAATGGGGAAATTTAACCTGGAGATAACTAAACCATTTGGTGCAAGAGACCCAGCTTTCAGCTTATCTCAGCTTCTGACATGCCTTTCCCGCTAAGCTTAATCATTTCTAGCTTTTGATTTAAAGTGAGAGACATGTGACTCTTCCTTTCACTTGAAAACTTGGAGGCCATTGCAGAGGTACTGTGTGGCCTAATACCAATATTGTTTTGTCTCAGGGAATTGGGAGGCCTGAGGAGAGGGGGACAGATGGGGGAACTGCCAGTCAATGGAGCAGTCAGAACACATAGTAACATTTATCAATTAAGTTTGTAGTCTTATCTGCACATGGTTTGTGGTGGCCCAAAACAATTACAATAGTACCATCAAAGATCACTCATCACAGATCATTATAACAAATATACTAATGAAGAAGTTTGAAATACTGTGAGAACTATCAAAATGTGACAAAGTGAGCAAATGCTACTGGAAAAATGGCACTGATAGACTTGCTCGATACAGGGTTGCCATAAACCTTCAATTTGTAAAAAACTCAGTATCTGCCAAGTACAATAAAATTAGGTATGTCTGTGTTAGGGTTCCTGTCCTCAAGGAACTCAATCTAGTAGCTGCAATATGGTATGGTAAGTGTGATAATACAGCATGTTCAATATAGTGGTTGAAGAAAGAGAGGAGTGGTTATCTCTGTTTGGGAAAGATATATGTAAGTTTGGGAAAGCCTCATAGGATAGGAGACAGTCTACTCTTAGAGGATGAATATGAGTCTGGCAGGTGGGAATAACTCATTCTAAGCAAAGGAAATCACATAAATGTGTGGATGGGTGGAGATCTGAAACAAGGTACATTTAAGTTATGGAGCACAGGAAGCTCATGACGGAATGGCAGGAGATGAGACTGGAAAAAGGTAGACAGGACCAGATCAAAATAATGGGTTTCAGAAGGCTGTGATGCATTCTGAAGCAGGAAGGTTTGTATAATCAAATTTTGTGTTTTAGATAAATCATTCTGGAGGCAGCATGGAAGAAGGATTATTAGAAGGTGGTAAAACTGAAAGGGTGACTATTACAAAAGATCCTGAAGCCCTATATAAAATGATGGGAAAAAAGAATAGTGGAAAGAATAAGATCTATTAAGATGAAAGACAGAATTTACAGGGGTTAGAAAATACAATAATTAGATAAGGGAATTGATGAAAAAAGTGTAAGATGACAATTAGGTTTCTGGGAAAGGGGTGAATGGTAAGGTTATTAACTTGACAAGATGAGGAAAATGGGAAGAGAGAGAGCAGGTTTCAGGGAAAGGTTTTTCTAGGAATTTCCTGCAAAAACACATTTTATACACCTAAGTGAGAGGAAAGGAAAAAGATTCAGCAGCCTTCATGAAGGAAATGAAGAAAGTTTCAAGCTTTTATTTAGAATGCCAAACAGATACATGCTTATGTCTCATCGAGGAGATGCTAGAAACACCTGACAGTTTTTTTGTACTTGCCTTCCTTTACTTTTGGTCTTGGTTTTCCAGAAGCTCTTAATGTACAGGAAAGTCCTTATTGTTCAGACACATTCACTATTTCATTGAAGAGCTATATTCATTGCATTTCACATATTTTTAACAACATACTGGCCCTTATTATTCACTAACCTTTTTTGAATTATAGATTGTACATATATTTCCTGATTGTTAGTCATGATATTACACACTTCAGATTAGGTTTTGAGTTTTGAATCTTGGGGTTATGTGGGATGATCAGACATAATAGAAGACAGACATGATTATCACTGAGACTTCCAACCAAGATGGAGGCGTAGGTAGATATACTTTGCCTCCTTGCACAACCAAAAGAAGGACAACAACAAATTTAAAAACAAAAAATAACCAGAACTTCCAGAAAAGTGAACTGTATGGAACTGCAACAACCAATGAGTTAAAAGAACATTCATCCAGACTGGTAGGAGGGGCAGAAACAGGCAGCCGGGGTGGAGAGGACCTGCAGCAAGGCAGCTGGGTGAAGAACCAGGTGAGTGAGTGAGACCCCGGCTGGCAGACCAGACAGTCCCACATTTGCCTGTGGATAAGCCAGGAGGAACAGCTGGGCAGCGAGACAGACCGCACAATGCAGGGTTCCAGAGTGGGAAAAGAAAAGCCCCAAAGCCTCTGGCTGTAAAAATCTGTGAGGGATGCAGTAGCGGGAGAAACTCCCAGCCTCACAGGAGAGTTCGTTGGGAGAGACCCACAGGGCCCTGGAACCTACACAAACCCACCAACCTGGGAATCAGCACCAGAAGGGCCCATTTGCTTGTGTGTAGTGGGGGAAGTGATTAAAGCCCGCCTAGAGCAAGCAAGTGGCATTTTTCCCTCTCGGACCCCTCCCCCACGTACAGCGTCAAATTGTAGTGACCTCGGTTGCCCCACTCTGGCGAATACCTAAGGCTCTGCCCCTTCCAACATAACAGGCACGCAGACACAAAGAAATATGGCCCAAATGAAAGAACAGATCAAAGCTCCAAAAATAGAACTAAGTGATAAACAGATAGTCAACCTATCAGATGCACAGTTCGAAACACTGGTCATCAGGTTGCTCACAGAAATGGTTGAGTATGGTCGCAAAATGGAGGAAAAAGTGAAGGCTATGCAAAGTGAAATAAAGAAAAATTTATATGGAACCAACAGTTAAGGGAAGGAAACTGGAACTCAGATCAACGATTTGGAGCAGAAGGAAGACATAAACATTCAACCAGAACAGAATGAAGAAACAAGAATTCAAAGAAGGAGAGGCTTAGGAACCTCTGTGAGAACTTTAAACATTCCAACATTCAAATCATAGGGGTGCCAAAAAGAGAAGGGGGAGAGCAAGAAATTGAAAACTTTTTTGAAGAAATAATGGAGAGCTTCCCCAATCTGGCCAAGGAAATAGACTTCCAGGAGATTCAGGAAGCTCAGAGAGTCCCAGACAAGTTGGACCCACTGAAGCACACACCAAGGCACATGATAATTACATTACCCAAGATTAAAGATAAGGAGAGAATCTTACAAGCAGCAAGAGAAAAGAAGACAGTTACCTAAAAAGGAGTTCCCATAAGCCTGTCAGCTGATTTCTCAAAAGAAACTTTGCAGACAAGAAGGGGTGGAAAGAAGTGTTCAAAGTCATGGAAGACAAGGACTTACACCCAAGATTACTCTATCCAGCAAAGCTCTCATTTAGAATGGAAGGGCAGATAAAGTGCTTCCCAGATAAGGTCAAGTTAAAGGAGTTCATCATCACCAAGCCCTTATTATATAAAATGTTAAAGGAACTTATCTAAGAAAAAGAAGATAAAAAATTATGAACAGTAAAAGGACAACAAACTCACAACTACTAACAACTGAACCTAAAAATCAAAAACAAACTAAGCAAACAACTAGAAGAGGAACAGAATCACAGAAATGGAGATCAGAGGGGAGGCAGCGGGGAGAGAATGGGGGAAAAGGTATAGGGAATAAGAAACATAAATGGTAGGTACAAAATAGGGGGAGGATAAAAATAGTATATGAAATGAAGAAGCCAGAGAACTTATATGTACGACCCATGGACATGCACTAAGTGGAGGGAATCCTGGTGAGGGAAGTGGTGCAGGGAAGAGGGGAATAAAGGAGAGAAAAAAAAAAATGGGACAACTGTAATAGCATAATCAATAATATATATAAAAGAAATATCAAATGTGATTAAAAAAATTATTACAAAAAAATCAACTACTCACTTGTCTCTGAGAACAACGCCTTCAATACATGCACCAAAAAGGACAACATTGCTTAAATCTATCATGCTGAGAGTCAAGGAAACTGATGTTCATCGTCTAAAATGAGATTGAAACTAGACACTCAGAACATTTCTTCTATCAGTAAAATTAGTTGCTATATTTACTAATCCTATGAATCCTTTCTTAAATTTTAAAGATGAACTAGGTAGATTATCTGGTGAGAAGTGAAGAGGCAGAGAAAAGAAATCGTTATTACCAGGATAAAAACACTAGTCACACTACTTCCTCCAGATGTTCTTAAGAGTAAAACTCAGGCTGGATCCATGAAAAGGATACAGACAAAGGAGGTGGTCAGGATGGCGAGGATAGTGCCAATGGGAATAGACTTTTGAGCATCTTTCAGATCTCCAGACCTGTTTGATCCAGCCATGATGCCTTTAGGGAAGGAAAAAAATAACGTGTTAACTTCTTGAATTCCTGGGCACTTTGATATTCATATTGATGCTAAACAAACTGAGGAACCCTGTGAATATAATATTGTCTCCTGAGAAAAATCACTCCTTGTGTCTGATAGCTTCTAAAATAGACAACGGCCCAAACGCTTACCTGTGACAGAGGGAAAGAAGATCCCCACCAGAAGAGTAAAGGAGGTGGTAATGTCAACAAGGACATACTCGTGGTTTAAGCTGCCTAAGACATCAGAAGATTTGGCTGAGGGCTTTTCAATGATCTCTCCCTTCGGTAGATAATTACTCCAAAGATTCTCTGTAGTGGGAAAAAAAGGGGGATATAAGCAGCAGCACTACAGAAAGAAGATAATTAGATAATTTTCTACCCAAATGATCTTCTAAATCAGACTCCTCATTTACACAGTTTTTAAAGGTATATTTGCTTGTAATGAGCACATATAGATGCACATGCATATTATACAAAGCACACATAAATAAAAAACGAATGTTCTTTCTCATCTGGTTCAAATATAATTTGACAAAAATGCTTTTGAACATACAAGTCAACTTTACTAATGTAAATTAGTAAAACTTAAGCAGGCTAAAGCTAAATGCCCTGAAAAGCCTGTTTTTTAAAATTAGTTATCAATGCTGTTTCTTAGTGTAAACTTGCTTATTATGCAAAGAATCTGTGGACCAAACATTTAAGATAGAAGTCACTTAAGGAAAGAGTTTCAGAAATTTAGCAGAGTTAGGAAAACACACATGTGGATGTGGTGACACTAAAATAGTTCTATTCTAGCTGTCACTGCAGGAAGAGCATTAGCAATTTCACAATAACACAAAGAATATTTTATTATCTTATTCTAGGTTAAAAAGTGATATACTCAGCTCTGTTCTCAAAAGGAGGTAATTTTTAGCAGACAACACTGTAAGGGAGTCCTGAAAAAGGATAAATTCACTAATAGAAAAACGAAAAGATGTTGGATTAAGAATTGAATGCTGAGTTAAGGGGGGAAGTGACAGCTGGCAGTGAGTCTTCACGGACTATAGAAGAGTCTAAAATGGCAAAGCCCATTTTTTTAGAGAAAAAGGAAAAACTTGTCCAGAAACCTCCCAAATTACCTGTGATGACACCACTAGCCAATCCAGGAATGCCCTGGATTGATGTGACATTATTGTGAACAAAGTATTCGTCACAGGTGGCATTGAAAAATTGACTTGAGTTACAGAAGAAGCCCCATAACTTTGACGGTACTGTCACGTTGTTCATTTCCTTGGTCTTTGAGCAAATGTCAATGTGTCTTGATGAAAGGGTGCGGTTACCCAGCATGCAGACCCTAAGTAAAAACAAACAGGGAGAAAAATGAAGCAAAGAAAAAAAGGTTTAAAAAATAGGTTAGAAATGAGTTAGCAAGTAATAAATAGTGAAACTCGAAGAGTTTCACTGTCAGAGATAGGACAAAAACTATTGACTAGCTCTGTAAACGGTGACTTACATTTTCTGCCAATTTAATCCTTATAGAAATCTCACAAAATATGTATTACTTCAACTTAGTGGATGGAGGAAATGAAGTTTAAGGAAATAAAATAGTCTGCATGAGGTCACACAGACGGTAGGTGGTAGTGACAAAATTCAAAGAGAACTGTCTGAATACACTGTGCTGACTCATCCAAAATTTCTAGGTTATTAACCAATTGTTAGGTCTAAAAGAATCCTACGGTCCTTTTTTTTGTTATAAAAAAAAAATTCTCCTAATGTTATTTTTGGCCTAGAAAAGACTTATGTTTATAACAAACCCTTTGAAAATGTTTTGCTAAAGGTCAAACCTCTGGCTGCTGTTTGGAGGAAGACAGCTTGGCTAGAATTAAAAAGCACATACCTCAGTGGCCTATGAGAAAACTGTTTTTGAATTTAAGCCCCAGTGGGAGTGAGGGTATTTAAGGATAATACAAATAATCATTGCTGATTTTATTTTTTTCTTTAACCCAGAGATATAAATACGAACAAAGGAATAATACACCCACAGTGAAAATACCTTTCAAAAGGAACAAAGCAACTTTTAAAATCTGCAAAATGATAGCATGCATACACAATGAACCATGTACCCATTACTCAGCTTCAATAACTTTCAATATTTCCCAGTCTTGTTTCATGCATTCCTCTAGGGTTTTTGTCTTGTTTTACTGGAATATTTTAAAGAAAATATTATACATTGTGACTTTTTCTCCACCAAAAAAGAGGAGAAGCATCAAAGGAGAATCAGAGGCAAATAGAATTTCACCAGGTATGATATAGCCAGAGGTATCTATTTTTATGACTCTAAACAGACCTTTAGCTGCTCTGTAGTCCACAGATGAGCAGACTGGAAAAATATTATGAAACTTACTGCTGACATCATTCAGCATAATAGAAGAGATACTGGACGAGTCAGAAAAAGAGTTCATGTTATTGCTCTGCTATTAACTAACTTTGTTTGGGGCAAGTAATTTTATATGTATGAAACCAATTTTTCATCTTAAAAAAATCTACTTTTCTGTAATCAGATTAAATCAACATAGGATTGATGAATTTAATCCCTAGATGATCCAGATATCTTTTCAAAGACAATTTCTGTAACAAGATTACAAATAACACTTAGTGCTGCTTAGTCCCTATGTCACTAGTTAAATGGAAAACATGTGAGCCTGTGAGTCACATGTCTATACACATCCATTACTGCTTCAAAAAATATACTTTAAGGTACCTGAACTACTTAAATATATATAGTGTATATATAAGGGGTATATATATATATATATTTAATACTGAGAGATAAAAATGAAATAATGACATTTATTTTCCTTTATTTTATGATGGAGTAAGTCCATTGCGATACTAACAGAATTAAAAATTTAATGAATTACAAATATTTAGCTAGGAATTTAGATTTCCTTTGATGTTTGATTTTCATTAATGAAAGGAATCCAACATTTAAATAGTTTATAAAGGTTTCTGGCAATAACTATACTGTTTGAAAAGCCTACATGAATAGTTCAAATATGTACAATCATTATCAGAGGGTTTTGGAAAAAACCTACTATCTACAGCCAAATGACGATTACAGCTGCCAGTTTTATGCTTGGGACATAAGGAAGAGGATCAACATGAACAAACTAAGCAGTTTGCTGGGAGGCTTCCTGCCTAGATGCCAACATAGCTTATCCAAAAGAGAAATTTCAGAGATACTGTAAAATTCTGACTTAAAATGATCAGCTCATCAGTTATTGGCAATAACTACCCAACAATAATGGTTAGAGAGACAGACACGTACGGGAAGTGAGGAGGGGCAAAAGATGACTTGATGGCTCCAGCATAGATGGCCAAGATGGACACAATGACACAGGCCAGAAAAAGTGAGGCAAACTTGTTCACGTAGCGTACGCCAATGAATACCACCAATACCAGGAGGACCAAGAAAGCTGTGCCGTAGACACGCATGTTATTTAGCATGGCTGCTGATTCCTTGAGTGCATCATCACTACGAAAGATGGCAGCCCGTGGGACAATATATACCTATTAAGCAAAAAAAAAAAAAAAAAAAAAAAAAAAAAAAAAGGTAGAAAATTAGGTAATTTCAGAGTAATCAAGTAACAGGATGTTGTAGTTTGGTTTGTTTTCACAAAGGAGTAAAGCTGAGACAGAAAATGGCTGGAGATTTAGCCTAATTCTTATTTGGATCTAGAATGCCTATAGAAATAGGATATTACTGATTTTAAGTCTAGATGCTGTCTGAATACCTATATGTCCAAATGGAAAAATTAAGGAATGCCTTAATAACTTATATTCAGAGGGCTATATAAAATAATTATAATGATTATCTTAAGTCCTACTTCTTCTATCATTAGTTTAAATAGTAAAAAAATATATCCCAGTGAATAAATAAAGAAATAAAAACGATTCTATTTAATTGGGATAAAGAGACCTGGCTGGTGTGGCTCAATGGATTGAGTGCTGGCCTGCAAACTGAGAGGTTTGCCGGTTTGATTTCTAGACAGGGCACATGCCTGAGTTGTGGGCAAGGACACTAGTTGGGGCCATACAACCAAATCTCTAGCACATTGATGTTTCTTTCCCTCTCTTTCTCCCTCCCTTTCCCTCTCTCTAAAAGTAAATAAGTGAAATAAAAAAATCTTTAATTGGGATAAAGATATTTTACAAATAAACTTTATTTTATTTTTTCCCCATTAGCACAAGTCTTCCTTGAAGACTAACTTCTTGGTTGAGGTGGCAGGGTGGTGGCGATTGGGCGAAGGGGAAGGAGTAGGCAGGCAAAGGAGACCCTTAACGGTTCTGCTGCATACGCACACTAGGAGGCCAATGTGTGTGTCTGCAAAGTGCAATAAAGCAAGGCACAATAAAGCAAAATGCAATAAAATGAGGTATGCCCATAACAATCACTTATATGACTTCCAGTCAAGATGGGAGCAGAGTAAACAGGCTTCGCTTCCTTGTATAACTACAGAAAAAATTACAACTAGACTACAAATCAAATATCAACCAGAACTATATCAGAACATCAAGCTGTATGGAAGTCCAACCACCATGGATTTAAAGAAGCCACATTCATCCAGATCAGTAGGAGGAACAAAGATATGAGGAGAGGCAGAAAGGTGTGGAGCCTCAGGAGTGACGTGCAAAGGTGGCAGAAGAGGTGGTACCATATTCACGTGTGGTGGTTAAAAATTGGGAGGGATACTTCAGGAGCGAGGAATCCCAGCTGCAAATCAGACCACCCAGCTGCCCAGGGTTCCAGCACCAGGAAGATAAATCCCTGTAACTTCTGCCTATACAAACCAGTGGGGTTGGAGCAGCAGAAGAAACTGCTGAATTTTCAGGAGACTCCTTTTAAAGGGCCCACAAGGACTTAAGACTTACGCAGACCCAACCGTCTGGGATTCAGCACTGGAGCAACAGCTGGGAGGACAAAAGTGGCATATGTGGAGAGTGTGAAGAGCCCGGCATCAGGGCGAGTGCTGGGAGACAGCTTCCTCCTAGGAAAAACTCCAGGCAGCAGCACTGTCCCTGCTCCAGACGCTCCCCACATATAGAGCCATAAAACAGTGAAAAGGGTTGCCCTGCCCGGGCCAATACCTAAAGCTCTGCCCTACACAATATACAGGCTACTCTTCTACAATAGGCCACACTACTAAGACAGGGAGTCAAAGCAGCTCTACCTAATATATAGAAACAAACACAGAAAGGCTGCCAAATTGAGAACACAAAGAAATATGGCCCACATGAAAGAACAGAACAAAACTCCAGAAAAAGAATTAAATGAAACAGAGATAACCAACCTATCAGATGCACAGTTCAAAACATTGGTTATCAGTATGCTCGAAGGACTTATTTAGTATGACAACAGCATAAAAAACACCCCGGCAGAAATGAAGGTTACATTAAACAAAATAAAGAAAAATCTTCAGGGAACCAACAGTGGAGGGGATGAAACGGAGAATCAAATCAATGATTTAGAACTTAAGGAAGAAAAAAAGCATTCAGTCAGAACAGCAGGAAGAAAAGAGAATTCAAAAAGATGAGGACAAAATGAGAAACCGCTGGGACATCTCCAAACATACCAACATCTGAACCATGGGGATGTCGGAAGGAGAAGAGCAGGAAATTGAAAACTCATTTGAAAAAATAATGAAAGAAAACTTCCCTAATTTGGTGAAGGAAATAGACATACAAGTCCAGGAAGCATAGAGAATCCCAAACAAGTTTGACCCAAAGAAGCCCACAGCAAGACACATCATAATTAAAATGCCAAAAGTTAAAGATGAAGAGAGAATCTCAAAAGCAGCAAGAGAAAAGCAGAGAGTTTTGTACAAAGGAGTTCCCATAGGGCCGTGAGCCAATTTCTCAAAAGAAACTTTGTAGGCTACAAGGGACTGGCAAGAAGTACTCAAAGTGATGAAAAGCAAGGGCCTATAACCTAGATTACTCTATCCAGCAAAGCTATCATTTGGAATTGAAGGGCAAATAAAGGGCTTCTCAGACAAGGTAAAGCTAAAGGAGTTTAACATTACCAACCCATTATTATATGAAATGTTAAAGGGACTTATTTAAGAAAAAGAAGATCAAAACTATGAACATTAAAATGACAACAAATTCACAACTATCAACAACTGAATCTAAAAAGACAAATCAAGCAAACAACCTTCTGTTCAGAACAGGAACAGAATCATAGATATGGAGATCATTTGGAGGGTAATCAGTGGGGCAGGGGAAGAGGGAAAATGGGAGAAAAGGTGCAGGGATTAAGAAGCATAATTGGTAGGTAGAAAATAGACAGGAGGAGGTTAAGAACAGTATAGCAAATGGAGAAGCCAAAGGACTTACCTCACAACTCATGGACATGAACTAAGGGTGGGGGGCGGAAATGCTGGAGGGAAGGGGAGTAATGGGCGGAGGGGTGCAAAGGAAAAAAAAATTGGGACAACTCTAACAGTATAATCAATAAAATACACTTAAGTAAATAGTATAGGAAATGTGAAGCCAAAGAACTTATATGCATGGCTCATGAATGGGACTGCTGGAGGGAATGGGGGTACTAGGTAGAGGGGGATGAATGGGGAAAAACTGGAGCAACTATAATAGCAGAGTCAATGAAATATATTTAAACACATAAATAAAAACTTAAGGTTCCTATTGCAAAAAAAAAAAAAATCACTTATAGCTGATGTTTAAGAAGCTTTGACATCAAAGAACAAAATATGTCCAAATCTATATTATTATTACTCTGTAGAACACAAATAAGTCATTACTCACCAGGAAAATTTCAATGGCACCAAGGATATACATGGCTGCTGCAAATGTGGTACCAAGGTAAAAGCAGAGGCCAACCGCTCCACCAAACTCTGGGCCCAGTGCCCGGGAAATCATAAAATATGAGCCCCCAGCTAAAACACAATGTGGAAGGCGATCAGGATAAAGAAAGTACATTAGTCAGATGTATGTAAGTAAACAAGTCAACAGTAAGAAGATAAAAATATGCATGAAGGATAAATATTTGAGGCTTTTGAAAATGCTGAATATGATAAAAAGTAGATTGCTAGTGGAAAGTAAAAGATAGCTGCATGGTAGGACAGACTGCACATCTAATGCTCCACAAAAAGTATCACAATTTGTCAGTATACAAAAATATCAAAGAATATTTACTACAGGCATGTGATAGTCCAGTACAATACACTAACTAACAGAAGCCAAGAATGCAATAAAAATGCAAGATTCTAGCTTAGAACATAATTTTTTAAAGAAGATATCCCAAAGTCAAATAGTATTAGTGTCTATGGCCAACAGATTAAAATAGTGTTCTAATCCTCAAAAGCTTACGCTTCTGGCCTTTATATCATCAACACAGTAATCACTGACAATCCCTGAAGCCCACACTTCACCTACTGACCTGGCACCACTCCGTTGGTTGCAATGGCACTCATGGAGATAGCAGTCAACATTGTCTGTAAAGAAAAAGAAGGGGTGAGGTTGTTAGTGCATAAAGAGGACCTTTCTGTACTATTTCCCACATGTGGACCTCAGAGAACTTATAAGAAAATCACCTCTACCTACTTTTAAGGAGGGAGTTACCTGCCGTACCTAATGGCATGGAAATGAGATGATGTGGTTCAATTCATTATACAAGTCACACTAATATTACCTGTAGTATTCTGTTAAATGCCCCCTACATCATAGTCTGTACGTTAGGTGCTATTAAGAGCCACTGATCTCTGCCTGGATCTCCGAAACAACTTGAAAAACAGCTTAGAAACTGACTAAAGGCTGGCTACAATAACAAGAGCAGTATTCAGTAAAAAAGTGAACTACTGAAGACTTCTGAGACCATAAGAACTGTATTTTAAAAACATCACCTGAGAGCAGATAGGGAGTAGATGGAGGCAGAGTGACCTGTTAGTAGGCTATTCTAGTAGTGCAGTGAGAGGTAAGACTGCAGTGGTAGTAGTGGAAATATAAAGGAAGGGTAGAATGTAAGAGATTTCAGAGGGAGACATGATTGGCCTCGGTAACGGATGGGTATAAGAGGCTATCAGGGAGTCAAACATGGCACTGAAGTTTCAAGACTAAGAAAATGGAAAACAAAAAACAAAAAAAAAACAAAAGAAAACCCCCATTAATTTTCGCTTGTTAATGACATGGACTGTAACTGCTGACCCTGCTCTCTGCTGAGCATAATACACATGGAGGGTATAATGGTGATAGTGATAACAGAGGTCTGTCACTAGTTACATGAAATAATAATTTTTATAAAATAACCTATTAACTTATAATAAAACTGATAGATGTGGTTGGGAAACATAGGTAAAAGGAGTTTGAGTTAAAGAAGGTTAAAATGTTCTCAGTATAGTGGATAGAAGACCTGGAAAAAAGTCTCAACTTCTGAGGAAGAGAAAATTAATGAGACTTCAAAACAAAACAAGTAATCCTCCCCCACAAACGACCACAGTATGTTTCTCAACACTAGTGGAGTAGTACATTTCATTTTCTAACACATGTCCTGTCATAACTTTGGTGCTATCAAGCTCAAATTGTTTGCATTCTGAATCCATTGTAGTCTATATCTTCTACTTCCTGTAGAAGTCTTGCATTATAATTTCTAGCACATCTATTATAGCTATATCAGTGAATAACTGACACTAAATAACTGAAAATCTCTTCTGTTGAAAGGAGTCTTTCCCTAGTATTCCTTGTTTTAGTTCCAAAGAGGTCAAGTGCATACACTCTTGAGCACTGGAAAGGTTCCAGGTGATCTCCAGGAGCCACCTCTGGACTTACGCAGCAGCAGCAGATAAGGACAATTGCAAAGGCCTGAAGAACTCCAGCTGTGCCCACTACCCACGTAAGTCGTAGAAACAGGATCACTCCAAAAATATTTTGTAGACATGGGAGGTAGACACCCATGAAGGTACCCATTTGGGGGGTCTGGAAAGAGAAATAGTGACAAAAGAAAAAATTATTATAGCCATCTAGAAAAGATTATCTCTTTACTTTCATATAAAAACTTGCTTTCAACTACCACGTTAATCTCTAAGCAGAGGTCATAAGTTTAATAAATACCTTAAAAGGGGCACACATAAAATCTCCATTTTACAAATGTCCATCACCATAACTTTTATTATTCCTCGAGCTATACATTTTTACCTTTCATAGGTCTCCACATGTATTTACATAGGCATTTGACCACAAATAAACTTTTAAGTGCACCCCAACAGAAATAAAAGTTTCTGTTGTTCAAAGCTGTTAGCTTTCTCTTTTCATTTAAAAATGGACTAATGGCCTTGGCCCAGTGGCTCAGTTGGTTGGAGTGTTGTCTCATACACCAAAATGTTGTGTGTTCAATCCTGGATTGGGGCATGTATGAGAGGCAACCAATAGATGTTTTTCTATTTCTCTCGGTTTCTTTCTCTACCTCTCCTCTCTCCCCTTCTTCTCTCTTTAAAATCAATTAAAAAAATAAAAAGCATGTCCTCAGGTGAGGATTAAAAAAATAATAAATAAATAAATGGACTAATGGCTTATCTTCAAAATTTGGTATTAATCCTTCATAGTAGCTGGTAAATGTAGTTGCTAATAACATAAAGATCTGAGGGTTGTTTTTACCCCTAAACAACCAAAAAACTAACTTGTAATATTGTTCCATATTTTCATTTTGATAAAAGAGACTGATATTTGGTTTTTGAAAAATCACAACAGAGGGGTGTGAACACTCTTCTTTTAAAGTGTTGTTCCCTCTGGCTGGAATGCTCTTCTCCCAGCTATCACCTGGCTCACTCTCTTATATTAGTTAGGGCCCTGCTCAACCATCATCCTATCAGAAAGGCTTCCCCTGACCAACCTCTCTAAAAATAGCAATTCGTTTTGCCTTGGTTCCCTTGCTGGCCAGCAGTCTCAGTCTCTTTACCATGTTTGTATTTTTCTTAGTGCATTAAGGACTGTTTCCCCACACTAAAATTTAGACTGCACGACAATGAGATGTTGTGAGTTCTTTTTGTGCTACAAACCCAATAGCCGCCAGGACAGTGTTGGCATATATCAAGCATTTAATGAATAGCTATCACAGAGCAGAGAGTGATACCATGGATATTCTTCCTTTCTGATATATGGGGCTCTTTTTATTTATCCTAGTTTTCTAAGGCCTAACCTTGGTGGGCTTCTTTTTCCCTTCAGTGATGTTCTCTGCCTCTTCATGTTCCTTTGCTCCTTGAGTCAGGTTAGTGTAATTAGCCATGCGGTTGAGGAGAGAAGACACCTTTGGTCTGGTGTCCATTTCCTCCTATAAAACCAGAAGTATGAAAGAAATGAGAGATGAAGAACACACTGGAAATAAACATCAAAATGAATGGACTACCAGAAAATGGCAAAGTATGGCAAAGTATTTCACAGGTAAACATATTAAGACAATTTATCAATGAAACTTTATCCCCCCCTCCACTAAAATAAGACACTTAATCAGGCCTACATGAATAATCATAGAATTCTTAAATGAAAAGTTTTATGTTTCTTTCAAACAGCTTAATTTTACAGTAAAAACAAAATCATACTGGCCCCCTATGGACAGGTGTAACCTTATAAAAACACTGAAATATGATCTTTAACCACAGTACCCTCTTTAGGCTACTAACATCCTACTAACATTTATGGCTATTATTTATAACACAAGGAATGGATAGGTCAATGAAAAACTTTTGTGACTGAACTAAATGCTCAACTCAGACATTTTCTTGAAGGAATCTGAGAGAAAATATCACTTAAAAAACAGGCACATTTAGAGAAGTGTCATTCATATCATTGCCCAAAGCCAAAGTCAGTGGACATAAATGCTAGAATAAAACAGTTCCTTTAACAACCGGACTGCAGAGTCCATGTGGTCTAAGAGAAGACTTACAGATCCTCTGACTCAAGCAGCCTGCTTCCTACACTGACTTTTGGTTAATAGTTACAAAGTAAATGATAGTCTTCCCAAACACAGAGCTGAAAAATACACTCTTTCATGCCTAGAAGATAATTGCAACAGACACATTTAAATTCCTGCTGAATTTGAAAGTAAGGTTCTCCATATGCCTGTGATGTCAACATTCCTCTTCCTATTTCATAGAAATTTGGCTTAATGGCTACTCATTAATTAGTAATAATTAGGTTATACAGATTAAGTCAACTACAGTGATAAGTTGTAAGTATTGTATTTTAATAATTAGTTATTAAATTACCCACTCTCTATGGTATTAAAACTAAATACGGTAGAAAACAGCTATCTTGAAATCTCTCTTCCTGAAATCTGTCATAGTTTTTCTTCCAAACATTACCTCAAAGAGTGCCAAGTTTTTATCGAAATACTCGTCTCCTTCTTCATAATTGGAATTACTGAGATAAGCATTTCGAGCTTTCTTATGGCCATCATCTGGGGGAAAAAAAGTAAACCAAGTTAGTTTCTCATTGGTATTGGAGAACACCAGCACCAAATCACTGTATGTTGTCTCTGTATTCATGTGGAACCCATTTTCATATTCAAATTTTAATCTGAGAGTGGCAGAACTCAATTAGCATTGCTTGGAGAATGTGGCTCACTCTCCAACAAGAACAAAAACAAATCTCTAAGCAAACATGGGTCATTTCTTTTCTTAACAATATGGAGACCTCTGGAAATACTATTCTTTTAGGATTTTAGACTGGCAGGATCTCTTAAAGTCACCCAAATCTATAATGAAAAAAGAAATTGAATACTTATTGAATACCTGCTCAGTACTGTGCTAGACATGGTGGACTACTTTCCACGCTGTTGCTGTTAATAATGGCAATTAAAGCTCTCTGCCTCCAGCACTGTCCTATCTTTCATAAATGACCTTAGGTCATTTAACCAAGAATTATTTTAGTTCAAACATTTGCCACATACAGTATCTTATATTCAAAGAGGCACCCCGCAAGAATTTGGTAAACCAGCTATGAAGAAAAAGGAGAAGGGGACTGGGCTCCCTGATACACGGTGTTTGTGTTGTCTGAGCACTTCCTTAACTTGGATTTTTTATTGTGTAAGTTATATAATTTACATTGTCTGGGTAGAAGAGAAAAAAAGACAAATTTAAAAACATGTAAATGTCACTAAGAACTCAGATTTTAAATACTGAGGAAATAGATACCAATATAAGAATTAAAGAAATAAATGTAAAGTTTTATAACATTAAATACACATTAGATGAGCTTAGGAAATAGGCAACAAGCTATCAAAATAACTGGGTCACGAAAAGGACAGAAGAGCCAACCTGAAGGGCTCCCCACTGGCTAAAATGGAATAATATGCCTACTAAAAATAAATATGGACTTTAATCACAATGGATTGAAATGCAAATCTGGGCCCTTGCCAGATAACTCAGTCGGTTAGAAGGTTGTCCTGATATGCCAAGGTTGTGAGTTCCATCCCTGGTTAGGGCACATACAAGAAACAGTCAGTGAAAGGGGAAAAAAAAAAAAGCAAAAGAACAACCAGTGAACGTATAAATTAAGTAGAAAAACAAATCACTGCTTCTCTCTCTACATTCCTCTTTCTCTAAACCCAATAAACAAACAAAAAAATGCAAATATGTGAAATTCCCAACATACATTAAAAATATAATCACTTTTACAAGTACCATATGATTTTACTTATGAGGAATCTAAAGAACAAAATAAACAACCTTGAAACAGACGCAAAGACACGGAGAACAAACTGATGGTGCCCGGGGGGAGGGGGACTGCAAGACTGGATGAAAAAGCAAAAGGAATATAGTAAATAATGTTGTAATAACTGTGTATGGTACCAGGTGGTATTAAATTTATTGAGGGATCACTTCATGTATTATATAAATGTCTAACTAATATGCTGTACACCCAAAACTAATACAAAATAATACTGAATGTAAACTGTAATTGAAAAATAAAGTTAAAAAATCTAATCTCTTTTACAGAGTTGCTAAAAAAACATGTAATTTTAAAAAATAATAAAGGAAAAAAAATCAAGCAATTATCCTGCCTTTCCTATACCAACTATATTTCAGGGTAATCGAATAAATAAAATGTCTTCATTATTGAAATATTCTAGCCCTGGCCTGTGTGGTTCAATTGACTGTGTGGTTCAATTGACTGTCAAAGGAACTCACAACCTTTGGCCTGTGAACCAAAGGGTCACTGATTTGATTCCCAGTCAGGGCACATGCCTGGGTTGTGGGCTAGGTCCCCAGTGGGAGGTGCCTGAGAGGCAACCCCACATTGATGTATCTCTCCCTCTTTTTCCCTCCCTTCCCCTCTCTCTAAAACTAAATAAATAAAAATCTTTAAAAAATACTCTAGCTAATAAATGCAGATAGAATATAATTAGAAAATAAAATAACCAGTTTTGAACCCCTAGTGAAATAATGGATCTAAGCATTGACCATCAATGGTTGCAAAAATCAATGGTTGCTAAAACCAATTAGGTCAAAGGCTGAGGCAGAACTTTATAATGGATCAAGGGTGTCCTGGAACCCACTGCTCAGTCTTAACATCATCAATAGTGGGACAACACAATCTCCTAAAGTAATAAAATGAAAAGTGCAACCTATGATGTATCCTCACTAAAAGAATGGAAGTTTAGTCAGGCCTTTAAAACTAACTGCCATTTCACAGAAAACAGAGGAGGAACACAATAAATACAGCCCAAAGATGCAAACATCAAATTCTGAATGTGGCAAATTCTACATGACAAATAATCTGACTTCTTAACAAATAAAAGGCATAAACTAAAAAAAAGTGGACTCTTACAAATTAAAAGTAATTTAAGAGATATACTAACCAATTGCAGGATGTGAAACTTGTTGGAATCTTGACTCAAATCAAATGTAAAAAGACATTTTGAGACAATCAGAGAAATCTGAATATGACTGGTTATTATTTCTTTTAAGTGTAACTAAAATCATATGATGTCTGGAATTTTCTTTAAATTATTCCAGGAAAAAAGGTGGGGGCTTAAAAACATTACTGAAGCTAGGAAATGGGTTCATAAAGGTTCATCATAACACTTTATCTACTGTTTTGAATGTTTGGAAATTTCCATAATAAAACACATATAAAAAGAAATGAAAATGTAATTCTATTCCTCTAATGGTTCCAGAAAATTTGGAAGAGAATGACAAAGCTTAAAATTATCACCACTCCAAGTTATTCATTTATCCAATTAATTTAACAAGTATTTATTAAATTCTTACAATATACTGGACATTATTCTAGGCCCTCAGGATATAGAAAAGAACAGGTAGTTAAAGACGCTGCTTTCTTTTCAGTATACTGAAGTAACAAGACAAAATAAATAAAAAACAAAACAAAAACCAAAAAAGGCATTTTAAGAAGCACTAAGTTCAATGATATAGGTACTGAGAGAGATTAAGGTAAGATCAACTTCAGGTAAGATCATTGGTGCGCTGGTAAGCAGGCTCTCTAGCATTTAAAAACAAAAATTACTGATTCTAATACTTGCCAATTTCTGTGGTATAAATATTCACATGCCAATTTTCAATTACTAATGTGAAGTCATTGAACATTTTATGGGAGAAGATGCATACAATTAGCTCCCATGAGCTGACATAAGCTGGTTGCAACATACCCTTGGCATAAAATGATCAGAAAAATCCTGCTTTTTAGGCACTGGGAATGCCAATTTTAAAATACCCTAAAACAGAAAACTCCAGTTAAGATGGAGGTGTGGGTAGGCACGTCCCGCCTCCATGCACAACTATAGCAAAAAAATACAACTGGACTCAAAACAAGTATCACCCAGAATTGTCAGAAAATTGAGCTGTGTGGACAACCAAGAATTTAAAGAAGTCACATACATCAAGATGGATAGGAGGGATGAAAATGCAGAGATGTTTGGAGAGGCACGGAGAAGGGAGCAGGCGGTCCCACACCCAAGTGTGGTGGATAGAAATTCCAGGAAACACAGAGAGTCCCAGACAAGATGGACCCAAACAGGACCACAAGACACATCATAATTAAAATGCCAAAGGTTAAAGATAAAGAGAGAATTTTAAAAGCAGCAAGAGAAAAACAGAGTTACCTACACAGGAGTTCCCATAAGACTGTCAAATGTTTTCTCAAAAGAAACTTTGTAGGCTAGAGGGGGCTGGCAAGAAGTATTCAATATGATGAAAAACAAGGACCTACAACCTAGACTAATTACTCTATCCAGCAAAACTATCATTTAGAGTTCACGGGCAGATAAACTGCTTCCCAGATAAAGTAAAACTAAAGGAATTCATCATCATCAAGCCATTATTACATGTAGTGCTAAAGGGAATTATATAAGAAAAAGATCAAAATGGTGAACATTAAAATAGTGATAAATTCACAACTATCAATAATTGAATCCAAATAAACTAAATGAATAAGCAGAATAGGAATTGAATTATAGATATGGAGACAATTTGAAAGGTTATCATTTGGGAAGGAGGAGGAGGAGAATGGGGAGAAAGGTGCAGGGATTAAGAAGCACAAATAGGAAGGTAAAAAACATACAGGGGGATATTAAGAACAGTTTACGTAATGGAGTAGCCAAAAAACTTACATTTCTGACCGACAGACATGAACTAAAGGGGGGAATTACTGGAGGAAATGGGGGCACTGGGTGGAGGGAATCAAAGGGGGAAAATAGCATAATCAATAAAATATATTTTAAAAAATCCTTAAGCAGAAACAATCTTAATGGATTCATAAAACAGAATAGGTAACATGGCTGAAACAGACTGAGGAAAACAGAGAATAGTTAGAAAGACAGGAAAAAGCCAGATTATGTCATAAGCAAAAGGACAGTTCTCCCAAATCTATTTATTAAACAGTCCCTCCTTTTCCCATTGACCTCCTATTCTAGGAAGGAAGCTATCTCACCACTATACCACCACCGTTACACTAACCTCCTATTCTAGATATTGACAACACATGTATAGGGGTTAGGGCTGGGGAGAGAGAATGATGAGTGTCCTAATGTTAGTTCCTTTATCTGTGGGAAATACATAATATAGGTAGCTTCTACTTCTTTTTCTTCTTTTTTTTTGTCAGTAAGAAGAGATTTAAAAAGAAGCAGAAAAAATGGGGAAAGCTGAAATAATTTAGGATGACAGAATGGTTCAAATATATCAATAGTATCAATAATTTTAATAATGTAAATGGACCAAATTCACTAGTTAAAACAAAGATCCACAGATTGGACAAAACAAAATCCAGGCATACACTGTTTACAAGAGACATAATACAAAGACACACAGGGGCTGAAAGTAAAGAGATATATCAAGTGAAATACTAATCAAAAGAAACCTGATACAGTGTTATTATTATCAGATAATTATCTCTTCCTGTTCAACAAATTATCCCCAAATTTAGTGGCTTAAACCACACAGG